GTCGTTATATTTTTTTAAATCTCAATTATTTAATTGCTATAAAAACAGTATACCAACTATGAACATTTATATTAATGGCTAAAAATAACTATAAAAAACTAGCCTAGGCTATTTCATAATCTTTGGTTCCAGTATGCGCACGCATCCTGTTGTCTGAAGTAGTTTTCGTTACCGCTGTGACGTAAATCCGCCAACAATCATGTACGTGAATAAACAAACTTCGTGACAACGGTCGAGTGACAAAAAAGGTGCAGCGAAACAGAAAAAAAAAACGGACGACCAGAATAGCTTCAATTTACCAATCATTTTTTAAAGCTATTTCTAGCGGGCTGGTTGCGTCATTTGGGATCGGTCGATATTGATCGGGTTATGTTTTCACGGCCGGCTGTTTGGTTACAGCGGTGTATGGGGCTGGCACAGATGTCGTAAATTTGGCTGCCGTTTTTATCGTCGGCTGTTTGGGTAGAGGGTGGTGTCTGACAGGGGTGTCGTATAATACTATCTTCAACAAAACAACCGGTCTTTCAGATTAGTTTAAATTTTATCAGAACGGATGTCAAATGTTAGTAATTGCGTCATCGTTTCTATATATAGATCTTAACTTGGACGTCATTTCATTTTTTTTCTAAGCCAAAAAAAAAGTTTTCTTTAATTGTTTAAAACAAATAGATGAATACTAAGAAAAAGTGCTCGCCGTTTCGTTGAATTCGTGTAATTACGACAAGAACAACAAACTTCCTTGATTCATATCCCTATCTATCTTCTGAGAACTACCGGGGGAAGTTCTTAGAATTTGTGAGCTGGACTAATTTATTCAATTGCTTAATGTGTGCCTTTCACCATACATGTCATTTAAGCTAGGAAAGTTGTATGCAAATTTGTACGGCTTAGATAAAAAAAAAATCTATTTTTGAAAACTATTTATCATAATGAGAAACTGTAAGATCTGTATTACTATTCGGGGAATCTATCACGACAAAGTTTTAAACACAAACTCATAACCACGCGGTGTAATAGATTTGATTTTATGTAGTGACTTCCCACTCCCTTTTGTTACAAAAATGTTTTTCGATTTAAAGACGTGCTGAAAGTAAATGTATAATTCCTTTAGATTTGTCATTTCTAGAGTGAAAAGTGAAAGCGATAGAACTGCATGCATGGTTTCACTGTCCAATCGAGCATGAAGACTGGCTTCAGTGTTTCTTTAACACGTCAGAAGAAAATATTCGAAGCGTGACGTAAACAAAACGTGCCCTCACTTTTAAAGGTGCAAGTCCTAATTTAGAAATGGACTTTGAGAAGTTTGCCTAGAGGGTGGTGTTGCCGGTTACGTAACAGAACGGACAGAAGCGGATATTGATTGGAACAGGACGTTGACAGAACTGATCAATTTTACATGCTTAAAAGCGGAAGTGGGGGGGGGGGGGCGTTGGGGTTACTGGGTAATTTTAATACGGTTTATGTTTTAAATAAATCGATAAACCTGCTTGATGCAAACCTTTAAATGAGACCGCCTTTGGACGAGTCCAGTTTGAAGAGGCAAAAGCAAATAGTATGAAAAGATCTGTCGCTAAGGGGTCGGCGTGGTCGAGTCGGTAAAGCTCATGGTTGCTAAACCGAAAAGTCTCGAGTTCGAACCCCCGGGCAGATGAGGCTCGTTAGCTGGGGACAGCCACTCTTCTAGGAGAGACAACTCCAAAATTAAACAACTGCTGCCTTGTAGTTTGTTCTTGGTTGGACAAAGGCTATGGAAGCAAATCCAAAAAGAAAAGCAGGCTGAAATCGGAGTCAATGGCCTCAATGGCGCATAACCAGTTGACACGTAACGCTTAATTGTGTTGGAGGCGTGGTCGAGTCGGCAAAAAGCTCATGGTTAATAAATTCGAACAGTCTCGAGTTCAAACGCACTGGCAGATAAATCTCGATCCCCTTCAACACTAATAATTAAGAACGAAGAAGAAGAAGAAGAAGATCTGTCGCTATTCGACGTTTTTCGCTATCGACGTAGTTTTTTTCTTCTTTCGAATAACATCGTTGATAACGATTATTTTTTTATCTCTAGTTTTTTTTCCCTTCCCAGCCTCCCTCCCTCCCTCAACCCACCACTCGCATTCAGACGCGGGTGAGTAATACTTGCATAACTCTAAAACTGGGGTCAACACGTTCGGAGTGGGGGGAAGGGCGGTAGGGTGGTGGAATGGTGGGTGGCGGGAGTAGCAAAATAAGATCCGTATCCCTAACACAGGTGTGCTGTATTTATCGAGTCTCCCTCTTTGAAATCCAACATAATCCCGGCTCAAACACACGCTGGATGTGACCTACACAAATTTATGCTCTAAAAACGATTTTTATATTACACCACCGCGGCCCCGCCCTCAAGCGCTTACATTTTTTTTCCAAGCCATTCTGTGCCCAGCCAGTTAAAACACGTTCAACGGGTCTTTACGATTGCGCTCCCAAGTAAAACACGCAATAAATGGGGGGGGGGGGGGGGGGCATCGTACGGGTCGTGAACTCTAGTGCTAGAATTCTTTATATAGAATAGCAAATATTTGCCCCGCGGGGGTAGTAGATTGACGTGTCTTTTTAAGGCGGATTTGTTTGCAGCCGTTTATAGAGGTCATATTATAAAAGTATGGAGAGCTGGTAGATCATTAATGTAAAGAATTGAAATAGCACTACAGTTAGCAGGCTGAGTTAACACAACACATTTTTGTGAGGTTTCGTTTAAATGTTTAAGCTTGAATCAATATATAGAATCTAATATAATATTATTAGTTTGAACACTCAAAAAGGTTTTAATTTTAAATGTTGATTGAACTTGAAACGCAAGTCGGTTTATACAAAACATCTGGATTTATTAAAGCTAAAAAGTTTGAATTATTAGTGGTTAGATTTTAAGTTTAAATACAATACCTATCTTATTAAACCAACGATGACACATAATCACCATCAAGACAACTGTTGAGGTAATTAGTTTTAGTTCAGTGATTGATGTTTTGTAATAACAGGCCTAGTGGTGGATTAGGTGTATATGAAAAAGGGCGGGGGGGGGGGGGGGGGGTGTTGCTATGGAGACGAGCACGGGAGAAGTAGCGTATCCCCCAACCCCAGCCTGACCTATGAGGCTATGACCTATGGCACTGTTGACATTACTATCGTGGCGTGACCTCACCGGCCCCTCCCACTTGAGTACTGGTACTAAATAATTTCAGGCAGTCAACTGGTGAATATTTGTTCGTGTCTTTTCCGTGTGTTGATTTTTTAAAATCCCAGCTTAATTTAGCCTTCCCGTCTGCTTGTTTACGTACAGTAAAGATTGCAGTTTTCATTCAACTGGTGGTAACTAGCTACTCCTAACAACCACAAGCTCGTAATGTCATTTTAAACTCCACCCTACCCTCCTCTTGTGTATAAAAGTATAACCCGAACAGTTTGGTTTACGTAAACATTATGTTGTTGTGCAATATGCTGCCAAGCGTAATGCCAATGTGTGTGGAGGAGAGGGGTGGGGGGGATAAAAGTACATAGCAGGAGTGTAGTCTCGTGGCAGAGTATGATTGTGTAATAACGTTACTGGTTCGGTCACGTGATTCGATTAGCAGGCCTTGCACGACCATGCCTCGTGACGACATCGTTAGTCGTCTGCAGTTTGTTGTTTTGTGTTTGTCTTCTGCCGAAGGTGACTTGCTGGAGCCTACAAACTTAGCTGGTATCTGTGACACAAACAGTATACCAGCCTAGCTGGGAGAAGTATACCAGCCTAGCTGGGAGAAGGATACCAGCCTAGCTGGGAGAAGTATATCAGCCTAGCTGGGAGAAGTATACCAGTCTAACTGGGAGAAGTATACCAGTCTAGCTGGGAGAATTATACCATTCTAGCTGGGAGAAGTATACCAGTCTAGCTGGGAGAAGTATACCAGCCTAGCTGGGAGAAGTATACCAGCCTAGCTGGGAGAAGTATACCAGCCCAGCTGGGATCTCTGTCACAAGAAGTATACAAGAAGTATACCAGCCATGAGTATGTCATAGCAAGCAGCCCAGGTATGAGCAAAACAGTAGCTGGCTGTGTCTATACTGTCAAGGCTCACATTCCATCTGTTTTCAGCTAGCATACTAGTTGCAGCTATATGACAAACCACAGCCAGCTGCCATACTATGGTTAGACATCCAGACATATCAACATGTGTCCTAAACACTTTCCTTTTTTTAAAAAAAAAAACAACTTATAAATAGAACAGTCAGCTGTTCACACGTGACATGTTCACACGCGCAATTCATGTCAAGGCTACAACCCAACAGGACACACAGAAGCCACATAGCTGTCGTAAACCTTCGAGCAGAAAAAAGAAACCCCAAAAGATTATTAATGCCCTAATTCGCTGTTCAGAGCTCTCGTTAATAAATAACTTTGATTCAAGCCTCTGCACGCCACATAGCGTCAAATTTTGAGGCATTTTTTAAAAAGTAGGACACGGCCATTTTATTTTTTAAATTCACGTGCAGGGCGCGTTCATGATGAGATAACTCTGATCAATGTAGGTCAAAGGCTAACGGGACGGACAGAGTGGGCTCAGAATAACTAACGCAGCTAATTTCTTTTGCTACCGGAGTTTTCTCCTGGTCTAATTTAAGATAACGGGATTTTTTTTTTCTAAATTAAAAAGAAAAATTTTTCAAAGGTCCTTTAGAGCAAAACTACATTAGCTTTATGTTCATTTTGCTCAACTTTTTTTTCTCGGGTTTAAAATAAAATCAATTTCTAGCCGCTTAATGTTTCTTTGATTTGCTTCTTTGATTTTACGGTTTTTAAATGCATCGCGCTAGACTTTTTTTTTTATTTAAAATATTTATCTAAATTTATTTTCCTTTTTTTTGTGTGAAATTAAATGATGTAAACTAAATTTTAAAAAAAGAGTTTCTCCCAAAAAAAAAAGAAAATAAATAAAATAAAAACTAAGAAAAACAGAAACAAGAAAATCATAAAAGAAACAAGTCTGTGTGATTTGAAGTGATGTCTATTTATAGTTGTTGATAAAAAAAACATACAATTTGCAAACTTTCAAAATGAAAAAAAAATATCCAGAAAAAAATGAAACAAAAAAAAAGATAAATATAGAAAATGATTGATGTTGATAACATAATGTGACATCCCCCCTTTTTCAGTAAAAGGTGAAGATGGTAATACAAGTTACCTGAGTAAGTGCATAAAATGTGTTCAATAACACTTTGTCCTCTACACAACAAGCAGCACAAGACTACCAACCAATGACAAACACACCTGACAATAAGTATTACAATTTACATCATTAATACAATTGGTTTTTACAAAGCACATTCAAAATAAAGTATTAAAAATATTAGGGCAATCATTTATATTATAGCTTTTTGCACAGCAAATATAAGATTTTTTGTTTGTAAATGTAGGCTTTTAATTGAAGTTTTTTTAAATGCATATGGAGTTTTTAATATCTCTCAATTCAGCTTTAAACTGTGTTGATCTATTTATGGAATCATTGTGAGTAATAAAGCTTGTGAATGGATGGATTGTGGTGGATTTCCAGAACATTTTGAACAAAATAGAATCTGATAAACCCATAAAATCTATGACTTTGTTTATAAAACAATCTCATATACTGGCAGTAATGTTTTGCTAGGTGAGAGGTCTAACTAAATACAGAAATGAAAATGAACATTTTAAAACATTTTTTAAAAATGTAGTCATGATAAACTTTATATGATGCATTTGTTAATAAAAAAAGAAATTTTTCATTAAAATTAAAGGAAGACAAAATTATTAGATCCTAAGTGATTAATAAAAGAAGAGAAAAAATAGTTATTTTAAGGTAACAAAAAAGAAATAATCATGAAATATCTTTTGGTAACTTATCTTTTTTTTTTACATGGTTTTAACTTTTAAATTTGATTTTAAAAAGTAAAGTAATTAAAAAAAATAAAAACAGAACTTGAATTTATAATTTTCAGCACTTAATTCATACATTTATATATCTTATACAATGTGTTTCATCAATTAAAATAACTTTGAAAATATTCTTTTTAGAATAATAATTTAGCATGTACAAATCCCATTAGATGTAAACATTTTTCAGAGTTTTGTGATGGCAAAAAGTTGCTCCCTGGAGTTGTGTAAAAAAAATTGCAACAGGCAGCAGTTTTATTGTAGAAAAATGTTTATACACATTTAAATAAATGTACTTAGAAACCCTGAGGTAAGCAAAAATTATACATGGACATTAACAGTGAAAGTAGACAAGACATGTAGGCCTACTGCACACATCCTCAGTGGCTGTGTTATATATATATAAATATATAGTATCATTGGAAACATACATATAATTTTATATATAAAAACCAGATAATTTATAAATAATGAAATATCAACAACGTAGTTTTTTTTAACATATTGTTAAAATAATATTTCGAGGTATATCAGAGAAGGTTTCCTGAAGCATGTACAACAAATTGGCTTGTAATTTTTGAAAAAATTATGGCCAAAAATTCTTGACCCCCAGTGTATTCAATGGAATACATATATAAAAACTGGAATTTTTTTTCATTATTCCACTAAATACAAATATTTTTTTTTGTTTCTTAAGGACAATATATAAAGTAAATGACTTGTGTCTGGCTTTAAACGTGGCCTTGTAAAAATTGTTTGGAGCAGGCAGTAACAGTTAAATGTGAGAGCATCAATGAACATACTCTAAGAGATCTGGAGATCAGACAGGCACTTCTCAACAGCTAGATATGTGTTCACTTACCATTGGTGTCCCTCTTAGTCTTACCCATGCTTGGTCCTGACCCATTAGATGGGATGTGAAAGTTTGTGCTGGGGTGGCCAGATCTGCTTTAACTGTTGTACAACAGGCACCTCAGGCGGGCTGTCTCTGTTTTGAGAGCAGCAACTTCCACCCTGAGTTTGAGGTTTTCCTGCTCCAACATGGCGGCTCTGATGGCGATCTCATCTTCCTTGGCGCGCCGGGCATCACGGGATCGCTTGGCGGCGTCGTTGTTCTTCCGGCGTCTCTCCCAGTAGGCGGCGTCTTTCTGCTCGTCTGGCAGAGATCGTGGGCGTTTTCTGGAACTTGTGTGCGAGTAGGAGGACGTGCTGGAGACCATGGTTGCGTTAAGGGAGGCTGACGACACTGGAATTGGAAAAGGTGAGCTGGAGGTGTTGCTGGGTTTCAGGTGATCTGGGGTCCCCTGGGGTGGGGAGAGGCTGCTGTGAGACTGTTGTGAGATGCTGGATGGGCTGGGGTGGCGGTGGCTGGGCTGGCTGTGAAGGTGTTGATGATTGGGAGCTTGCTGTTGTTGATGGTGCTGGTGATTCTGAGGTGGCTGATTGTGAACTGGGTTTGGAGAGTGGGCTTGAGATGTAGGTGAGGACTTGCCGCTGTGGCTGGAAGTAGCGGACTGTTTGTCTCTGAACATTTGCAGCTGTTGGTTGTACATGTTTAAAAGCTCCTCAGAGTTCATACCCGTGAATAATCCCGACTCGACGCTCTGCTGGAACATGGCGGGCGACATGCCGGGCAGCCCCAGGAAACCAAGGGGCATCTGGAGCGCTTCCTTAGGGTAAGCTTTGAATGGACGGCTGTTTTTCTTGCTGCGTGGCTCCATCAGAGCCGCAGCCGCCAGCTGGGAGAAGGCGTTTATCACTGAGCCTTGAGCCATCACGTTGGGCTGGAGCCCCGGGAACATGTTCATGCCGTTGAGCAGTGGCGGCACCGGATTCAGACCGGAACCAAACTTTGCGCTCTCCGACATTTTCTGAGCGTCCATGTCTGTAGGGCTGGGCGATTCCCTTTTGATAATGTCGCTGGGGTAGTCATTGTTGGGCGGAGAACCTGCGTTGTAGTCGGTCATGTGACCTGGACTGGAGGAAGAGGCCTGAGAGTCGTCGGTGAGGCTCCCTGAGAAAGATGACCTGCGCTTGACGGAGAAGTCCAGCGGACTGTCCTGGTCGTTGTGGAAGCTGGAGAGGCATGTCTTCAACTCCCCCGCCTCCTTCTCCCCCCTCAGCTCCTGGATCTTGTGCTCCAGGTTCTTCATGCCTTCTACGTTGCTCAGTCTGCTCTCGTAAACGTTTGTTTTACTCAAAAGTCCACTCACGATACTTTCCGATTTCATGCTGCCGATTCCGTTAGAAATAGACGTGTTTGTAGAGTCGATATCGGCATCATCCATTGATGAGTACTCAGTATCGTAGCTGCTTTTCCATGGATTTGATAGCTTATGCTGCATTCCCTGTAAAGAAAAAAAATGTTAAAAATGTGCATATTCACATCTAGAAGTTAACCCAGTTCAAGCAGTAAAAAACATTTAAAGTGTGTTCAACATCAAAACTAAATTTACCACCAGATACATCGGATAATACGGCACCACAGTATCCCACACCATGTTCCTTATCAACCAAGTAAACAAGCCACTCTACTGGGGTCAGAAATTAAATCAATAGTTCCTATATCAGCTCATCAAATTACAGCTAACCGAAGTAAATTATAAGCGAACAATTTTTGTTTAAAATAAACTCGCGCTAGCCTTAACAAGACGTTCTGTCACGCGTGATTAAAATCCAATAACCGCTCCAGCTAGAGTACAATCGTTTGTTTTCAATTAGAAAGTTTTGTTTCCCTTTCAGTTTTACACTTGCGCAGCATACGAGCGCAGAAAGTGTCGCGTCAACTCCGTATAGTCTCGCGCTAGTCAAACTCACGCGGTAATCGAGGTTATTAAGAAGTACAAAGTGAACATCGAATAGACTGGGGCTGATCACCGCGAAATCCTACTAACATCACACCATCGGCCCGGCACAAGAAAGAAGAGAATTGTTTAATTATTAGAGGAACGTATCTGTACATCGTTAAGTGTTCGTGGAATGTGGCGTCATCAGCCTAATATGGATACAAACACAATAGAAATTCGAAATACGTTTCTATTGAATCCTGCTGGGTTATTTCTAGATGTCCTATGACGCAGATGAGACAATAGTTTTACATTTTCAGACATTACAAGACAATATTGTTAAAAAAAAGGGGGGGGGGGGGTCCTGAGGCAGGGAAATAAAAACGTCATTTAAATAAATTTTTTTTAAAATGATTTCCTTAGAAGTTCACAAAAGGGAAAGGGGTGGGAATAGGAGAGGGGAGGGGAGAGTGGAGCAGCTTTTAAGAAACCAAATGTTTTCAATGTAAAGCGACGTGATACATTTTGAATTCTAGCAGTTTAAAAAAAAAAACGCCATTGCGTGCCAGTTGCTAAGGGAATCAATATTGCATGAAAATAGGAGCGTGCGTGGTTAGATCAGTGGGGGCGATCGATGGGGGCCCAGTTGGTGACATGCGTGATCCAGATTACAGGTCTGTAACCCCCCCCCCCCCCCACACACACACACACATCTCCCTCAACCCTCCCCTCACTCACTCCCCCACACGACACAATTGCGTTGGCGTGTGGAGATGACACTCACTCACACACGGCCTGTGGGTTGTTTTTTTCTCTCTCTGAGCTCCCAGCGCAAGACGCCTGGCTCAACAGGGCGGTGCTGCCCGCCCCTCTAACTGGTGGTTTAACTGCCGGCTCCATGTAATATTACAGGTCACATGATGTAATGGCTGTCACAGGTCACAGGGTTGGGGGAGGGGGGCAGGGATAATGTTTCATCACTAATTCAATTAAACTTTTACCCCTCAGGATTTTCACATCTAAAAATGGCTGGTGGAAAGCAGCTGATAAAATTTCTTCAAGCAGATGAGTACGGAGAAGGGGAAGGAAGGTGTGCTGCATGAAGGAATAGTGTGTGTATGTGTGTTATGAGATGATGTGTATGAGTAATCTCCCATCCTCAATCAACTGTTGCTGTGAATAGTTGAAACAAGCCAGGGGCATGATGTGCTACCAGCGGACGATGTTTTTTTTTTTCTTCGCTTTAACTTAAGACAGGCCTCTAGTGAACATTAATTTTTCAAACACCCGCACATACACATATACACCCCCACACCCCCCCACCCCACACACATACACACAGTCCGATAGAGCAAATCAAACGCTTCAGCTCACATATAAATATAAAATCAACCTCAAAAGGTCATTGACCTATTTAAAGCCGGAATGTGTTTTCAACAGAATTTTTTCCTTCGCGTAATGTAAAAATAATACAAACTTGTTTTAACGTCGGCTAACAATAAAGTGTGTGGATTATTGATAGGTGGATTGTGATCGTTGTATTTAGGTCAATGTTTAAGAGTTGTGGGAGAGATTAGTCACGCCGTGATGTTACGTAATGACACGGAACGGGGATACGTGACGTCGCTCAAGAAATAAAATATGGTTGCCGTGGTTTCGCTAGTGGATTTTTTTTTTCAAGGGTGTAGTAATTGTATTTGTAAAAATAAGAAACGAAATTCTAAACTGTATATTCGATAATGTATGGACGAGCTTTGTAAAATTATATATTTAAATAAATACAGCCGTTTGTGACCTGGCGGTATCGATTATCCACGGGTAATCGAGTCATTTACTAAGAACAAGCGGTTACCGAGTCGTTCATTGCAGGGTGGGTTCGTGAGTGCGGAAATGGCCGAGAAATTGTAAGGAAAATTTCAGTTGAGAAACCCGTGGGGGGTGGGGATTGTAAAGGTGGGGTATTTGTAAAAAAAATCGAATCATGTATAGATTTTTTTTTCAAGTAGCGATACCAACCAGCGAGTGCTCACAACAGTGGGCTGATGAATGGGGGTCTGTTGCTGGGGGAGTTCCGAGCCCGGTGGAGGCTCACGTGGTCATTGATTGTTGGAGGAGGGGACCACCGGTGTCATTGATTAGCTGAGTGCAACGGCTTGTCAAAGGTTGTGTCAGTTCAAGGTCGTGCCAATCACCTACGAAATCAATGGCACCGCCTCACAGAGTTTAATTTTCTCCGGGCTAAATAAAAATTGTAACGACCGGCTGATAGTCACGTGATTGATAACAGCGAAACAAAGCTCGTAATTCTTTAATAAACTAGTAGGGATGAATTATTCAGTTACGGTTTTTATTTTTAAAAGAATTTTTATCTGAAGTGTGATGAAAAATTCAAGCGGTAATAATCGTGTTCTGCTTCAGTCATAAGTGTTGTAACTGTTTAGAAATGCAAATTAATCCTTGGGAGAATTTGATACAGATTTTTTTCGCCCGGGGCCCATGCCAGAATGGAAGGAGTTAGTTAAGGGCGTTAGTTAAGTCCCACAAGTGCAGAAAAGTCTCGTGTATTTAGATGGTGGTGTCAAACACCTCACGTTTCACAACACAACCTTTACCCTTTGACCCCTGTCTGTCACTCAATCTGCACGGCTGCTATACGTTTTAGATTCGGCCTTTTTTTTTCTCTTTATGTTTTAAACAAATTCGTCCACATTTTTTAAAAATAAAAAATTGTAACAGAACTAGTGATATATAAGGTTTAAGAACTTGTGTTTCCTTTTAGTCAGAGGAATGGAGAGTCCATTTCATGTGTTCATCTGACAAGAAAAATGCATTGGCCTTTACTCAAGCACAGATCAGCTACCTACGTAAGTCAACCAGATGCACCCACGCACACACATGCGCACACACACGCTCTCACATACAGACCCGACCGACACACACACATGTGAAGACACGTACTGACAAGATGGCAGGCATACACTACAGCCCACCATGACACCCTAACCCAGTACAGTCGTGATTATATCATCCAGTTAAAAACACAAATCCAGTAAAGATTTTTTAATCTACGCCATGCTGATTTTTACAACACTGAATAACTTGAAATTATAGGGGTGGTGTGGGGGGGGGGGGTCAAACTGGCCTAGGGGTAGTAGAGTGGTGCTAATGATCTTTAAACAGTTCATGTTCAAATATCTCTAACTGTCCTACCCACCCACCGTTCCGTTGTTTAAAAAAATTCACTCTATGGTAGAGTGTCACAGGTAGTACTTTAAACCGCAACGCTAAAGGAAAAAAATCAATGTGAAAAGTTCGCAAGGGTACGTAACTGTGTCACAAGCTGACACAGTTAGCTGATAGTAGAACAGCGCGGAGAGGGGAGGTAACTGGTGGGCGGGGAACGTTTCATGGCCACATAAATGTGTATGAAATACGATAAGAGGTTTTTTTTTTTAATTCTGTTTTTTTTTTTTAGGTTGAAAAACAAAGTCTTGAGTGGCGTCAACTAATGGTCAGGGTCCTTTCATGGGACAACAACCAATGGCCAGGGTCCTTTCATGGGGCAACCACCACCAGTTGACCCGTTCACCAATCTTAAGGTGTAGGTGCGACCTGGTGGTGGGGTGTTTGTGTTATGTGTGTAGGTGATTTATGGTGTCTATTTTGTATGCTACTAGTGGTGTGTGCGATGTGTGACCAGTTGTATGTATGCTGTATTTGACTAATAACGTATATGGTGTGTGTGACTAATTGTGTGTATGGTGTAAATGTCAATGGTTTGTATGGTGTATGCAGTTACTTATGTTTATGGTGTATGTGAACAATGGCGTGAATGGTGTTGGTTCATGTTACTAAGGTGTTTTTTACTTGCAGCGACTAGGGTGACATATTTTGAACGCTTACGAAAAAAAGCATGTGTTTTTTTTTTCAACAAAACTTTAATACATTTAATACCTTTAAGTGATATATTATTTACACATCGGCATTTAGTGAGTTTCTATAGATTTGTTTTCATATTAGGCAAAAAAAAAATACAATAATATCCCTAGTGCTTTGTTCTTTTATTCCAGAATAAAAAAACACCAGTTCTATTGTTACTGCACAAGTCAATTCAACGGTACCAATTTAACTTGAGTAATCAAGTCGTTCCCAAGCCAACGCGAAACCTAATCAATACATTTCTATAAATAAATTATACACGCACCGGATACTCCCCCACCCACCCTCTCTGCTACACACAATGTGTCACACCTCTAAGAAGTGACGTCATTTGATTACATTATCTCCAGCTCCAACTAACTAATTAGTTGGTAGTTGTTGTTTTTTTTATCATTTCTAGACAGTGAGTAGCCTCTGCATGCACCTACCGCCACTCACACCTTCCCAGTCAGTGCACGTGCCGGCTACACAATCCTATTTCATAACACAGACCCCGGCCCCTACCTCCACCCCGCTTACCTAGCAGCCCCCCCCCCCCCCCCCCCGACCCTACAACGGGTGTTAGAATGTTAAACCCCACTGAGAGCAACCAAACATGGCCACCGTTGAGCCGACCTTACCAA